TAACAGTAATTGGCAGTTTTACAGAAGGCAAAATAAGGAAAATAAATGGCAAAGCGTACACTCATTCACTCGGACACTTCCAGCATTCCTAACCCAGCGTGTCATGCGGTCGTATCTGTCCAGCTAATAAATTTACCCCAAATAGCGATATGCTGACAGCAGGTTTCCCATTGCAAAGCTCTTACCGCACATTAACTTATAAGTACCCGACACATGGAAATTGGCTTTTACATTTTCTGCCCCTCTGCTCCTTTGGAACTTATCCCAGACAGATGTGTCGCTTTGAAAGATTACACTGAACTGCAACCAAAAAAACAAGAAGTCAAATAAAAAAAATCACCTCCATTAGAGTCAGTCGAGATGTTAGAGAGATATTAACAGGTTAGCAAGGGCCAGGGTGCTTCTAGATCATTTTAACTGTTACTGCCAAGATTCTTTTCCAGGTACAAATTTATTTTGGGATATATGGTGCCAAAACATCGCAGGTGTTATTGTGAAAGTACCATCTGGTTCATTCATTTAAAGTATTTCGGAAAATTGCGGACCCCCCTAGGAATGATATACTAGCTGAATGTATTCCTCAAGCAGACTTAGCATTTTAAATACCACTCTGCTAAGAAAGGAAACTTTGGATAGCTTAAGTGTTCACAGCATGTGTAAATTGATTAGAGATGAAAGTGTAAAAAACCAACTGCTGAGGAATTCCTGGGGGTTATGATGATGAAATAGGCTGACAGACTGTTGCCTGAACCGCCTTTTCAATACCGACACCTGGAAGTGACCCGTGTGGTAGCAGGGCAGTCCTGTCTTGGCACCTTTGACACGTTCACCCTGAGGGGGCAGAGAGCCAGTAGTCTCCCACACTCTCTGGTTAACCTCCTGTCACTCTGGGCCCGGGGTGGCGAGTAAGACCCGTTTGAACCCCAATAAAGAAGGCAACTCACATATGTCTTGCCAAAAAAATCCAGCATTGCCAGTTAAACATTTCTGTTGTTTTGAATGCCTAAAATTGAGCCTGACAGTTATTTATATGGGAATTCTGATCACACATATCTGTGTGGGTATTTGTGCCACACCATTATTTAATTTCAAGACATATGTGAACATAATTAAATTTTTTACCAATCCATTTAGCATTGTGAAACAAAATTTCAGAAAAAAACACCCCTGAACTGCGCATACTGAATGAAAAATTATATTTCAGTTATTTTGCATCCACTCAAAAAACATTTGCGTTCCCCCAAGAAACTTTCTTGCTTGCACAACTTTTGCAATGGAATTAATATGAGGTGGGAGGGAAAACTATATTTGAATGCTTTTGTTAGCAAATGAAAAGTTTCTCAGGGGAACACGATACTTTTATGAGAAAATGCAAAAGGTTTTGCAAGCATATCCAATATTTTAGCAAGAGAACACAAAAGTTTTGAGAGCAAATGCAAAATCATTTAAATATCATTTTTTTCCTCCCATCTTATATTTTTTTCAATTAACATGTACACTGTTGTACATATTAGTACATTTATACTGTTAAAAATATTTCAATCACTTTATTTCAATCAGTCTTAATGTTCTGTGCTACATGCATGGACCAGACTTTTTTTTCAGTCAAAAGTTTCTACATGTTCACATATTATAATGAATACAATATACAGGGAAACGTAGCAATTCATAAGACATTTTAGAATAAACACTGCATGCAGTAAATAATTATGTTCACCTGCTGTGAGTAAAATTTACTCCATTATGAGTTGATTTGGCACAGGAAAAACCAAAGGGAATTAATACATATGCAGTTTAAAGTGTTATAATGGGTAGCTGGCAGCCATGCTGTTAAAGTCAACAAAATACTAATTCATTCATACATTCATTTACACCCTTTTCCAGTTTACAATTAAGCATAAATTAGTTTGTTTTTGATGGCAAAAATTCCTCAACAACATAGTAAGTGATGCACTAGCATGTGTTTCCTCTGAAGACATCCGTGTGCATCTTTCAGGGATTTCTCACAGACCTCACTAATGAAACCTAATGAGTGTGGAGACCTGCTCGCTCAGAATGCTGTCAGGGATTGTACAGGTGTTAGCACACATGAGCAAAAATGCTTGTTACAGGTGTGCGTAAACCAAAAAACTTGGACCAAACAAACTTTTTTTTAAGATTGCAGACAAAAAGCTGAGTCTGCCATCTGCATAATGTGTTTATGTTGGTGAAGGCAATTTGAAAATATGTCAGTCAAGGAGGTCACTGTTAAGGTCATCAGCTGCGTGACCAATGGAGTTCTCAACAGGGGCCACTGAGGTCAGTTCACTTAAGATCTGAGGATGAAGTAACTCTGGCAGTAGAAGTTGTAAATACACAATTAAATTTTTTTTCTATGGATGGCAGTTCAAAAATAACCATATATTCTGAATAAATAACTGAAATAGCAAGTAACATGCACATGACATTTTTTTTCTTTAAGAATTCATAATTTTATTTAACAAGGATGCGTTCAATTGATCAATAGTGACAGTAAAGACATTTGGAATGTTACAAAACGTCTCGGTTACGTATGGTAACCCTCGTTCCCTGAAGGAGGGAACGGAGACGTCACGTCTGATGACCGACGAATTGGGATCTCGCTTAGAGAGACCAATCTACTTCGAGTGTAAACTAAACGAGCCAATGCACATTGGCATGCGATTATTGCATCCAGCTGCTGCTGATCACAGCGTGAGTATAAGTAGGCAGCAGATGCAGCGCATATTCAGGTTTTCGCTGAGGAGCCGAGCCGGTGACCCTGTGTAACACTGGCCTGCGTTTGAGCTGAGGGTGCGTGGGTAGTCCGTTGGTTCTTCCTCCCGATCCGCCCACTGCTGCTCACTGGCGAGAGAGGAGGGTGAGTGTGATACGGCTCTGGATCGTCCACAACCCCCCGTCCCCTCAGGGGACCCAGAGATAGAAGAGATTGCTCTTTTGTCGAGTATTTGGGTACCGCTGACCATGAGGTCAGTGGCGGAAAAAAAGGAAACAAAAGATTCTCCGCCCCGGCCCTCCTCCGGGGGAGGGAGTGGTGCGTTCACCATCTCCCGAAGAGCAACTCCCTCCATCTCTGGGTCG